CAAAGCAGAGCCAAGCCGCGGAGCATGTGGGCAGCGGACAGCCCTGTCCGCTGCCCGCGTGTTCCGCCGCTTTGCTTCCTCTCCCTGGTCTGCTGGAGACCAGGGAGAGGAAGGGCCCCGTTCGTAACTGCGGATCCGACATAAGTCGGATCCGCGTAACTCGGGGACTGCCTGTATATGGAGGGAACAAGATGGCATCTCTCCCAGCTTGTTTGTCTCCCCTAACCTCTGCTTACTTGTCTGGCCTTTTATTACCAAACTCCTTGCAGCAGGGACTGAGGCTATGTCTAGATTACATGGTGTTTTTTTTTTTTTTTTAAGTGGCCTTGTTTGGGGAATCCCCCCCAAAAAACCCCAAAACATCACCTGCGTCTAGACTGCCACCGCGTTCTTTCGAAATTAAACTGAAAGAAGGCAGCAGGTTTTTTGACAGCAGTAAAACCTCATTTTATGAGGAAGAATGCCTTTTTTCAAAAGAGCTCTTTCGAAAAAAGGCGTTTTGACTGCAAACAGGGCTTTTTCGAAACACTGTCTAGACCAGTGTTTCTCAACCTTTTTTTGCTCAAAGCCCCTTTCTGAGCCTCATTCATCATATGCCTGGCAGTTAAGTTTGGGTGACCCCCTAGAAGTAAGGTGCGGCCCCTGTGGAGCCATATGGCCCACGTTGAGAACCACTGGTCTAGATGATCTCTTTGGAAAGAAGCGTGTAGTCTCGATGTCCCCGGAGGCACGTAGCACAAGAGAGCACGGAGGGCTCTTCTCGCAGACGGCAAGTAACTGAAATGACCAACTGCCACAACTGGTTTGTTTCCACTTGCGGTACGTGAGTCCTCTCCGAGTAGACCCCTTTACCATCAGACTGATGCCCCCTCTTCGGGCTCATCACCCCGTACGGGCCTGGGCAACACGTCAGCACACTCACCGATCCAGCCACTTCCGAATCTGGGCCAAAACAAGCGCTCGGTGGTGAACAGTCTCCAAGTTTCCCCTTGGCATCTAAAAAATGAATCCCAGCAATAAATCTCCGACGCAAGCTAAGAGATGTGCACCTAAGACCCTGGTCGCCATGGCCAGGCCAACAATCCCCTACTCCCCCTCGTCCCCAGCGAAGAAACGGGGGTTTCACACGGATGTGCCCCCAAAGTCACAGGAAAAGAGGCGAATGGAATCAGTGGTGGCAGGCTGGTCTTGGCCACTATATCAAAAGTGGCCCTTACTGTCTGGGAATGGGTAGAGGTAGGCCGGGCCTTTGGGCAAGGCGAGCGAGGTGGCTGCCTTGGGCCCCGCACAGCCCAGCTCCCAGCCCCACCCATCCGGCCGCTCACTCGCTGCCCTGACGGGGGGCCGTGTGGCCATGCAGCTCAGCCAAACACAGCGTGCTGCCTTGGGCCCCGCGAGCCCTTTGGCCGGGCTTGGGTAGGGGTCACAACAGAAGAGGGGGTCTGAATGCCTTTCCATTTTTGTGGCGGCTCAGCTGGCTGATGGCAATAAGATGTACAAGCTGAGGATGGCCATGGGCTACAGGATGGTCTCTGGCGTGTCCTCTGGGCTGCAGGCTCGATACCCAGTCAGTCAATCCCAAGTCCTTTGCTGAAAGCACGGACTGGTCTGCTCTTTCATTCAAGTGATTTGACGTCTCAGAGCAGAGGCCCCGGCGTGTTCTGGACCTCCCCAGGAAACCCTGACAATCGCAGCCAAGAATCCCTGCCCGTGAGGTTTTGCAAGACGCGCCTGCTTCATCCACTGTCCTGGAGAGCAGCTTTTGCCCCTCGCGTCTCCTTTTTGAAGGGCGTGAACTGGGCTCGGCCCTGCATGGGGAGCTGGCCAGTGAAGTCTGCAAGCTTGGAAAAGTGATACAAGTCCCATTTCTCTAACAGTGCCCAGCAGTTAGCAATATGGAACTGCAGGCAGGGAGACCTCTCTCCCCATGAGGGCCAATCTCGGAGTCCTTGGTAGTCAGTATCCATTTGGACAGGGCAGCCTGGCCCTTTCCTTAGCTACCAAGAGGTGGAAGAACAGACTCAGCTCCTTGGCAGGGATGAAATGTCTCCTGTCGGCTCTCTTCAGACTGGGGGCTTACGATGCCGTAGCGCTCAGGATGGTTTTGGTATGGGAGGGCCACCTTACTCCACCCCTCAGATTGCAGGGCATCCAGAAGCCATCGCGGCGGACCCTTGGCGTCCACCACTGGGACGTGGATGTCATTAGCAACTCTCTGCTGTAGTTCCTGGGACTCCCTATGGTCGTCCAGCGGAGATGGAGAGGATGGAGTGACTGCTTTGTCCAGCGATGAAGAGAACCATCAGAACCTCCGGGTCCTGACCATGGAGCCCAATGCAGTCAGGAGCAGGGGTCAGTCATCTGTACCAGCAGTTCTTGGGGAAGCCGGATCCAGAGACAGAGTGCAACTCCTAGCATGTCTGTCAGGATTTAACCCTCTCCGTGGAGATACCAAAGAGCTAGCACCTCCAGCCCAACTGGATACTGCACGTCCAGCAGCGGCATGGCCATCAGTACTGGAGCACTCTGAGGGTTGCAGACTGGCTCCTGGAGAACCACAGTAGCGTCCTTCTCTAGTGTAGTAACAGCCCTTAAGAGAACTCTGCTGGAGAGCCAGGAAACCGAAGATGAGGTAGGACTCCATTCTCCAGTGTTATCACTTATCACTTGTCAATTGATCAAGGTTTTATTCCAAAACCTCCTCTACCGACTCAATCTGAAACAGTTCCTCAGATCAGACACCTAAAAATAATGGCTCAGATCTGACGCTTCCTTCCCTTGCAACTTCTGCAGTGAAGGCGGATGAAAATTCATTTTGCTTTGTGTCGTCCATGAGAGGTCCTTTAGCACCCTGATCAGCCAGTGGCCCCAGCGGATTGTTTCAAGGTCTTCCATTCTGAGGTACTTTAAAATATTGCTGTTATTTTTTGTGTCTTTTCAAAGTTTTTCTTTGAATTCTTTTGTGGTCTAATTATACTTTTACCCTCGTCTTGCCAGAGTTTACGTTTCTTTCTGTTTTCCTCAGTAAGATTTGGCTTATTTTTAAAAGATACCTTTTGGTCGCGAATCACCTTGTTTAGCCATTGCAACTTTTTTGGACTTGACTTTTTTATTTGGGGTGTATATACAATTTGAACCTGTATTATGTGGTTTTTTTAAAGTTTCCATGCAGGCTGCAGATATTTGACTTGTGACTATTCCTTTTAATTTCCCTTTAACTAGCTTCCTAATGTTTGTGTATCCCCCTTTTTGAAATACCAGAACAGGAGGGCAAGAGCACATGAAGCACACATGATGGAGGATATCAAAGCAAATGGCTATGGGCAAAAGTGTGTGAAACACACAACAGACTGTCTAAAAGCAGGTGCACAACGTTTCATTTCCATCCAAGTGAAGCCAAGAGGCCATCTACCTCCCAGTCAGATGGGACCGGAATTCAAGAGTGTGCAGCACCCAGCAGAATGGCAGAGGGGTTTTTCAGGAGAGAGGGGGCGATTCATCAGCTCAATGGATGAAAAACCTGCCCTAAATGTGGGCACTCAGCCCTCCTGAAAGCGGACAAAAGACACCAAGAGATTGCCCTCCAGCCCTGTGATTTATTGCAGTGCTTCAGAACCACTCACAGCAGCCACTAGAGCCTTATTTACTGGAAAATCTCTCACTGCTGTCTGGATCCTCTCCTGCCAGGAGCTCTCCGAGGCAGCGTGAGCGGTCATGCTCAGGATCTACAGGTCAGCAGGTCTGTGAGTGGTGAGCTCCCGGTCAGCCAAGCAAGTGCAGCTGTTACACAAGCTTGACAACGGCTTGCTCAGCAAGCTACGCCCTCCCACCTCGACAGCTGGGTCTGCACTCGCCCGTGCCGAGGAGGCCCCACGCTAGCGCTGTAACAGCTGACCTGCAGGATGAGCTTCGTATCCTGGGGTACAACGGTGACGATGCGGGAGCCTCGCTCCACCTTGCGCAGCGTCTCGTTGTTGGGCGTAGAGGAGCCGCTGAAGCCCGCCTGCAGATCTGGGAACAGCAGAGGCACCAGCAAGAGTGCCGTAAGTCCCTACATACAACGCCATTTCCCCAATCCAGCCACAAGGTGCTGGCTGAGTTCCTCCTGGGAACCCGCCCATGGCTAGGCACGCTCTAGTACTGCCTCTGGTACTAGTACTCAGAGCCCTACTGGGCCAAGCATCAACGCAACACAGCCCCACGCCGCCCACGTCCAGATGCTGGTCAGACGCTGCCCTGCAAGCTTTCCAAGCAACTCTCCCAGCCTACTGGACCCCACTGGGAGCACTCCACTTCCTTCTGGCAGGGGACGGCAAAGCCTCTGTCAAAGATGACAAGAGGTGGCTCATGCCAACCAGCTACTTCCCCTGCAGTGGGCCCATTCAGCCAGTCTTGACCCTAGCCACTTCTCTGGGGCAGAGGCAGGCCCCATGGTCAGTGCAGCCGCTAGCCGCTTCTCCTTGTGGGAGTCATGCAGGAAACCTCATGGGAAGTCCTATCCCCAGCTACTTCGCCTCCTGGGGACCCAGCAGGCGGCCAGCACAGCCACACCTGTCCCCAGCCACTTCCAGCCACTTCTCCTGGGGGGCAGGCAGGCAGGTGGCCTGCATGGCTAGTCTTGCCCCCAGTGCCCTCTGCTCTCTCTGCAGGCCAAGGCACAGCGATGGCAAGCGCTCGATCAGCGACAGTTTGTGGAGAGTAAGGAACTCTCGCCTACGCGAGGGAGAGCTGGGAAGGGAGGGAGAGCGCTCCCAGAGCTTGATGGAAAGCTCCGCGAGTCCCAACTCACGAGAGGACACGCAGATCTCCGGCACCCAGCAGGAGCAGCCACTTGGATGCTCAGGACGTGGCACCATGGCCCCCACGGGGCCCTGGAAGCAAACTTGTCCAGGTTCTCATGAGGGCAGGGGGCCTAGGAAGCAATCAGTAAGGCCCATTACACAGGACAGCCCATACTTGAACGTCTACCTTTCAGCGATGTGTCCCTCAGAGACACACACTGGCAGCTGTGGGAGTGGGTGGTCACCAGCAGAAACTCCTCAGACGTGGCAAATGAGGTAACGTTGGAAGCCACCTGCGGGAAGTGAGTAGGAAGAAATCGATGAGCACAAGCAGCAGCAGATGAAATTAGAGAGTCTCACAGAGTGAAACAGCATCAAAACGAACTTTGGTACCTCAACATCATTCATGAAAAACCGGGATCGATCAGTCAGACCCAAGATGGCCTCCTATAATGAAAAAGACAGAGAATTACAATATGTTGCAGCCCTGGTTTAGTGGCACCACTGTTGTGGGTCTTTGCCTTATGCCCCTGAGCTAGTGAGTGGCCCTCCATCTCAATGGGTCACAAGACTGTCGGAACCAGGAATCTCCCAGAATTGGGCAGTTTTGCTAACTGCGCTTGCGTACTTAGAATTTGTGGGGTGAGCCGATCAAAGCGCAGTAGCACTGATTGGATGCAGAGCGAGCGCACGGCTCTCACATCAGAACGGCCAGACCGGGCCAGACCAAAGGTCCGTCCAGCCCCGTGTCCTGTCTGCCCACAGTGGCCAGTGCCAGGTGCCCCAGAGGGGGGAACACAACAGGGAATCCTCATGCGATCCCTCCCGTCATCCATTTCCCGACAAACAGACGCCAGGGCCACCTTTCCGACCCAGCCTGGCTAACACCATTGATGGACTTTACCTCCATGAATCTAGCTAGCTCTACTGAACCCTGTTAAAGTCCTAATCTTCACAACTAGGGATGTTAAATATCGGTTCATTGAATAGTCGATTAACCTCATGAATTCTTATCGGTTACTCGACTATTCTATAGTCCCCGGGGATGGAGATGGCAGCCAATGTGCTCTGGCCCTGCTCCCAAGGAGCCCCCAGCCGCCCCATGCTGCTGCCTCGGATATAGAGGCAGCAGTGTGGGGTGCTAGGCAGGAGCTGATCTGTGAGGGGAGCCAGTTAAAAACCAGCTTTCCTTGTGGCCCAGCTACCTGTCACCTTGCAGTGCTGTCTCTGATACCCTGCGCTGCTGCCTCTGTGACAGCAGCTCCTGTCCAGGGTGGAGGGGGCGCTGAGCTCCTGGACCCAGTGCGAGCCAGGACTGGGCTGGGCTGCCTGCCTGCCTGGCTCCTAATACACTTGAAATGCAGAGATGCAGCAGGAGTAGGTCCCGGACCTGGCACGAGCCAGGACTGAGCTGGGCTGCTGGCCAGCCGCTAAAAAATGTACTGCCGAGGGGGGGAGGAAATGTGTGCAGTCTATAGCATTAACCTATAAGCTTTTGCTTATTGGTTAATCGACTACACTATTAAATCCCTATTCACAATATCCTCTGGCAAGGAGTTCCACAGGTTGACTGTGTGCTGCATGAAGAAAAACTTCCTTTTGTCTGTATTAAACCAGCAGCCTATTAATTTCATTTGGTGACCCTTAGTTCTTATGTTATGGGAACAAGTAAATCACTTTTCCTTATTTCCTTTTTCCACACCACTCAAGATTTTATAGACCTCTATCATATACTCCACCTTATTCTCTTCTTTTCTAACCTGAAAAGTACCAGTCTTAGAGCTCTCTTCATATGGGACCCGTTCCAAAACCCTAATTGTTTTTGTTGCCCTTTTCTGAACCTTTTCCAATGCCAGGAGATCTTTTTTGAGATGAGACCACCACATCTGTACGCACTATTCAAGATGGAGGTGTACCATCGTTTTACACAGGGGCAGCAAGATGTTTTCTGCCTTCTTCTCTGTCCCTTTTGTAATGATTCTAACATGCTGTTTGCTTCTTTGACTGCCCCTGCACACGGACCGGATGCTTTCACAGAACTATCTGGAATGACTCCAAGATCTCTCTCGAGTAGTTGTAGCCAAATGAGTCCCCCTCACATTGTCTGTCTAGCTGGGGTTATGTTTTCCAATGTGCATCACTTCACATCTATCAACGGTACATTTCATCGCCGTGGTATTCTAACATGCTGTTTGCTTCTTTGACTGCCCCTGCACACGGACCGGATGCTTTCACAGAACTATCTGGAATGACTCCAAGATCTCTCTCGAGTAGTTGTAGCCAAATGAGTCCCCCTCACATTGTCTGTCTAGCTGGGGTTATGTTTTCCAATGTGCATCACTTCACATCTATCAACGGTACATTTCATCGCCGTGGTGTTGCCCAGCCTTCACAGTCTGCTTTGGTCTTAATCTTGAGCAGTTTAGTATTGTCTGCTAATTTTGCCACATTACTGTTTCCCCCTTTCTCCAGATCATTTAGAAGTAAATTGAATAGGATTGGTCCCAGAACAGACCCTTGGGGGACACCAGTTACCTCTCTCCATTCTGAAAAAACTTACCACAAACTACATATGAGTCAACAGTGTGACACTGTTGCAAAACAAGCGAACATGATTCTGGGATCCCTTAATAGGAGTGTTGACACGAGAGGTCATTCTTCCACTCTACTCTGCACTGATTAGGCCTCAATTGGAGTGCTGTGTCCAGTTTTGGGTACCACATTTCAAGGAAGATGTAGAAAAATTGGAGAAGGTCCAGAGACGAGCAACAAAACAATTAAAGGTCTTGAAAACACGAGCTATGAGGCAAGGCTGAAGGAATTAGGCTTGTTTAGTTTGGAAAAGAGAAGACCAAGGGCACATGATAGCAGTTTTCAGGTGTCTAAAAGGGTGTTACGGGGGGACAATTGTTCTCCTTGGTCTTGATGATAGGACAAGCAGCAATGGGCGTTTAGGTTGAACATTAGGAAAAAATTCCTAACAGCCAGAGTGGTTAAACACTGGACTCGGTAGCCTAGGAAGGTTGTGGAATCTCCATCACTGCAGCTATTTACGGGCAGGTTGGATCGACATTTCTCAGGGATGGTCTAGAAGGTGCTTGGTCCTGTCATGAGGCAGGAGACCGGACCAGATGATCTCGAGGTCCCTTCCTGTTCTAGTGTTCTATGATCCCTACCCTTTGTTTCCTGTCTTTGAACCAGTTACCAATACATGAAAGGACCTTCCCATTTATCCCATGACAACTGACTTTACGTAAGAGCCTTTGGTGAGGGACCTTGTCTAAGGCTTTGTGGAAATCTAAGTGCACTAAGAGCCAACGTTGAATGAAATCACACACAAGTCACTTCACATGCCCTTGATTTACATCACATCAGTAGGGAAAAACCTATGTAGCCAGAAACCAGAGGAATCTGGCAACTCTGTGCAGGGACAATGGTAAACCAAATGTCTTCTGAGCTACAAAGCGAACACCGATCAGTCCTCCTCCCAGAGACACCAGCGCAGCACTTCCGAACGGTGAGCCTGCACGCTTCCACTCAGAACGCTGCTCCACTGGCAACCATGGGCTGAACAGAGACACCAGCGCAGCACTTGCGAACGGTGAGCCTGCACGCTTCCACTCAGAACGCTGCTCCACTGGCAACCATGGGCTGAACAGAGACACTGGATTTATGGCTTAGGACGGCTGTTAGCCACTAACCTCCCGTTTGTCCCGACTGCAGAGGGGTTAACGGCCCACTGTCCTGAGCAGTCCCTTCCAATGTGTGCTACCTAACCAAAGAAGTGGGCCGTGCCCACGAAAGCTCATGATCCCATCTACAGGTTTGGGAGTCTATAAAGTGCTACCAGACCACTGGCTAACTCGGCTACCCCTCTGAAACTTCTAAACAACCTGTTCACCTTTGCTCAGGTGATGTCTACACTGGCAATTGATCAACCAAATGTTTGTAATTCACGGGTGTTACCACCCCACGCCCTGCTTTGTACTTTGTCCACATAAGCGTCCTCCTGCTAACACAGAGAAAGCCACTTGTTGGGCTAGAAGTATTTTGTCAGCAAAAGTGAGGACAAACTGCATTCACGGGTGCCAGCCGTTGAGCAACAGGGCTGTGTCGACATGGCCTAGTCGCTAAAAGCTGCGTAGAGTACACATAGCCTCAGAGTGCTCTTCCCAGAACTGAAGAATAGTTCTTTGTGGCTTGAAAGTTTGTTGCTCTCAAGTCGGACTCTCATTCATTTGTGTCTCTAATAGCCAAGGACCAAAACAACTACCATGACACGATCTACAGAGAGAGTAACAAGTCAGAGATCCCACAGTAACTTAAACACTGAACAGGATCCAAGTTAAATGTTCAGGACCACATAAAACATTGACAAACACTGCATGTGCAAGTGGTGCAGAGCTACAGCCATCAAGGGGACCTACTTATCTGAACACCCCTACATTTCAATCTCCACATTAATGCTGAGTTACCCATAATCATGCTGGATTTTGTGCACTGTAAGACAGCCTCTGGGCAAGGCATGCAGAGGGGGATGTGCTGCTCTCACAGCTCAGTTTGCAAGCACTAATGAGGAGACAGCAATGCTAAGGAACGTTTTCAGACCGTGTCCTGCTGGCCCTCATGAGCACCAGCTGTTCACTTACTTCTCCACCAATCACGGCCAATGCAGTCTGCACACAAGGAGAAGGAAACCGAACAGCAGAGCCATTGCTACTCCTCCAGGGTTCCAGGGCTGGAGTGGGAGCCTCTGAAAATTAAGAGAAGATAAAGGCTATTTTCAGCTCAGCGGCTAATGCAAACATAAAACCTACACAAACACGCCCCTTTGCCCCACACAGCCCATAAAAACACCGGTGTGTTTTCACTAAACCATAGAGAACAAGCTCATGACATGAAACTAACAGAACTTGGAGACCATCTGAGTCCAGCACATAGCAAGCGTAACAAAGCAGTAATGGGGATGAAGCTGTTGCGTGCCTCAGTTTCTCTCTGTACTTTGTACTGCTATCCAGTGGGGGGGGAGGGGGTATGGCACACAAGAGCTGGCTCTCTTCTTGGGGAAGAACAGTAGACATGAGGTTTGTGTGTCCTTTTTCTGACAGGAGAGCAATGGCTGGGTCATCACGTTCGCGGAGGAGGTAGCCATGTTAGTCTCCAAGATGCAGACTAACAAATATAGTAGACCAGTGGCACGCAACCTTTTTCCTAGCGCAGCCCCCGGGGAAACTTTGGTTGGAAAAAAAGAGCGCAGCCCCTTTAAATGCTGCTCCATTTGCCTGCCACTCTCCCTGCATGTACGCCGTGCCAGGAAAAAAAAGTGGCAGCTGGCCCAGCACGGTGACCTCCCCCGGAAGACAGCCGTGACGGGTTGCGCACTGCTGTATCAGACCATGAGCTTTCATGGGTAAAACTCGCTTCATCAGACGTGCACTGGGTCATCAAGTAACTGCCTGGAACCCGCTGGAACCGACCCACAGCCACAGAGACCCTGGGAAGCCCCAGTTACCAGAACGCTTTTCCCTCGCCCCTCAGAAGGGAAGTCAAGCCAAGGCCCCAGCCGAGAACAAGAGGAAAAGGTCCCGGATGGTGGAGTTAAGTGCTGCCCTTTGAAGAGACACGGGGCTCTCCCCTGGGACTGAGAAAGGCTCAAAGAGCGAGCAAGCCTGAAACGGAGACCATGGCGGCTGGGCTGGTTCATTGCGCTGGCTTAGCCAGACGCACTACATCTTAACTTTTCTATGCACTGATCCAGAACTCCAGGGCAGTGTTCCAGCTGCACCACAATTCCAAACAAACGACTGGCCTTGGAAGAGGACTTTAGAAAGCGTCTAATTAGGTAATCATGTAGCTGACAAATTGTGTTGGTTACATGATAAACCGATAAGTGGCTCTGCATTTGAAGGAGCTTGAGAGCTGGCGGGCAGGCATGTCGGCTCAGTCCCGGCTCGCATGGGGTCCGTCAGCTACCCCTACAGAGGCTCTGCCCGATTTATATGCAGAGTCACAGTGGGGGGGAGCTGCCGAACACAACGTGAGCCAAGACTAAGCCAGCACGCTGGCTCCCAAAATACTTGAAATGCAGAGCTGCATGCAGAGGGAGGGCTGCGTGTAACCGGTAGTGTTAACCGGCTACACTAGGACATTCGTAGATTGGAAAGGGCTGCCAAGTGTCAGCTCAAATACTTGAGGAGACTCATTGATCCCTGAAGAGCGTACAGACCTCTGCTCCTGGAGTCTCTCTCACTGGGACTCTGGGCAGAGCCCATAATGTGAACAGGAGTGCTAGGACCCAGGGGCTCAGTCTCACAGGTGGTGATGCTCCAGGTCCCACCCTGAAGGAAGAGTGAGACCCCTTTGGGCTCCTGCACACTGAAGGAAGGGATTCCATTCCACGGCTGGGGCTCAGCATAAATCCTGCAGATCCACGACAGCAGTGAAGAGGGGGCGGCGGGGCCTAGAGGTTCAGTCACATTTGTTCTATTAGGGAAAAAGGAGCAAAAGTCCGAGCCCCCAATGCCATATCAGTCCTTTGAAAGCCACGAGGCTTGGCCCTTCATTTCAAAATACAGCTACGCCATTCTTTTCTTTAAAAACGAGGTCCATCCAGATTCAAATGAGCACTTCGACTAGTCCAAAGAGCCAAGCGATGAGAAAAGCAACAACATCAACTTGCAAAGTTTGTGCACGTTCTTATTCTCTAGCTGGCTAGGTAAACTCCAGGACAGTTCTGCAACAGCAATCAGTACCTAAGCCAGCCAGCTCCAGAGGAATCTTACACTCACCCCAGAAGTACTTCAGTATTCGCCCATCAGCCAGCTGCACAGCTACTGCTCTGCTCTTTGGATTATAGCACAGACTGATCACATCCCCATCCACAGGCAAAGACAAGCTAGAAATAGGTACATGAGAGAGGAGGTTACGAATTGGGGATGCGAAAGGTTAACGTCACCCATTTAGGGTTCTGATCACCCGGTGACTAATGGGGGCTGGAGTAGGGATGTAAGCGACCAATCGACTACGCTGCCTCTATCAAAAAAAAAAAACGGGGAGGGGAGGGGAGGGGAGGGAGAATATGAGGAACCAGCTTAAAAGCCAATTCCTTCCAACTCCATGGGACGGGGCAGGAGGGCAGCTGCAGCCCTTCCTCTTTGAAATATACCAGAGTCCCAGCAGCGGCTCTTGTGCATTTCAAAGACTGAAATGGTGCGTGGAGCCCTGGGCCAGCAGAGAGTCCCCTGCTGATCCCTGGCTCCATGCAGCGCTTCCTCTTTGAAGTGCACCTGCAGGGGCTCTTGTACATTTGAAAGGCGGAACACGCACTAGTCCTTATCAACTACTCAAGGAGTTAATTAATCAATATTTAACATCCCTAGGCTGGAGCAGCTCCCCACTCTGCAGGCAGGGGCGGTGAGCTGGTAGAGCCGGTTCTAGCCCCCGCGCAGGGCTAAGAGCCAGTAGCCAGTCCCAGTGCAGGACAGTCTCCAGCCCAGATCCCACTCGGTCAGTTAACTGGTTAACCAGGATTCTACATCCCTGGTTACAACGCTGCAGTAGATGTACACTGTAGTGGATAAGAGATGTGCCTCCGTAGACAAAGAAGTGGAAAGGGAGGGGTAGCAGAGACTGTTTCTGATGGTGCTAGTTGGCAATGAATGGATAGATAACACCAGTGCTTAAAAAAAAAAAAAAAAGTGCCAGTATTCCAGGCTCAAAATTGTTGAGAAAACAAAAAACCAAAAAAGAAAGCCACATACACATCCTACAACCCATTCAATTAAGGCACGTTGAGAAAACAGGTGCCAGTACGCCAGCCCAAGGAGTACCATCACAAAAAAGCACTGGATAACACATGCACAAAAGGCTCACAGTCTCTGTAATGATGCTGAATTTGCACCAATTCAATCCATACTGTGAAGGAGAGAGTCAAGTCCCGGCCAGCCCCTCTGGCATGGAGCATATGCCTGCCAGCAACACTGACCGATCATGGCACACTACAGGACTTGTGTTCATCATGAGTCGTGGGATGCACAGATGGGCATGTTTTCAGCCTTTGTCAGATGGCCAGCAAAGCCCACAGCTGTAGCACATTCAGAAAACTCAAAAACTGATTCAGACTTGCCCACATCACACAATCCCAGCATGTTGGGCCCTGCCAGGCTTTAGCAGGCGGCCAATACAGCAGATTTTCACAACACAGAGGAGCTTGTCTGCCCATATTTCAGCCCAACACCCTTTGAATCTAGGAGCTTCAGTAGGAAGAGAACTCAGGCTACATCTATAAGTAGACAGCGGCATCACTACAAATCATGGCGCTTTCCCCCAGGATACCTGGCTTTGGAGTCCAAGGGGAGGTGCCCCGAGCTTGTTGGAGAGGGACAGGCCGTTGCAGCTATAACCGCCACCCCCCCCATTATTTCACAGTTGAAAGGCGGGCAGATGGGAGGTGGAACATCTGCAGGGATAAAGCATCTTGAAAAACGTGTTACTGAAAGTTCCGTAACCTCTCTGAGAATACGTCCCCATGGGACCTCCCCAGCCAGACTCCCAAGCAGTAATTCAAGAAAAGGGGAGTGTTCAGGAGGCAAGTCCAAGCGTTTGGAGGACTGTGTCACCAAGGGCTGCAACATCCCCTGAAGCAGGAGCAGCATTATGGATGGAAGACCAAGTTTCAGTACTACAGATTTCAGATGCTATACCCTTCAATAGGGCTACAGAAGTAGACTGGCGTATGCTTCCATTCCGTACGTGCGCCAGGCTGTACAGCTTTGCGTGCTGTCATGTCCCAGCGCATTAATAGCAGGGTTAAGACACTCTGGCAGCCTTTGAGAGAAAACAGGTTGTCCCTTCACCCTCTCTGCAAACGGTATCAATAGCCTAGGAGAGGCTCCAAAGATCTAAATCCTGTCAACACAGAAGGCAAGGACTCTTCTAACACTGAGCATGTGGAAACGATCTCTGAGGAAGCAAGAGGCGCTGGGTAGATATTCCAGAGAGGCCTTCGGGAGGAAGCCAGAATGGGCAGAGGGGGAACCAGTGTCAGCCTGTCTCTATAAAAGGTGCTACGTGGTGGTTGTGGAGCCAGAACTACACTGAGTTCTCTCACACCTCAGGAATGAAGTCTTGAAAAGAGATGAAAGAGAGAACAGGGAGCCCTTGAGTCAAAGAGGTTTTCTTTGAGAATTAAGCCGCAAACTGAGGTCCCACTGGGAGGGGGTTGCATAAGGGGAGAAACAAATGAGTAAAACGTCTGTGAAATCTGGCTGCAGTAATGGAGGTTCTCTCAATGAATTTCACTGAATTCCCCAGGTGGCATTTCCCATTGCTCAGGGCAGCAGAGGCCTGCCTCTGGGGACTCCTAGGTCTGCCAAAGTCTGTGGAATTCACAACGGTTGCATTTCCATTCATGACCCTGAAGGAAGCTCCTGCTCAGGGAGCCTGCACTTAGATTGTGGAGTCCTGTACGAGAGCTGAGATTTCCCTCTGACAGGAAGCACATCAGTTCCGTAGCCGTGGCGACTCTGCTGGGATCTCTGCTCTGCCCTTCCAGTTGATAGGACACACTTCTGCCTCGCTGTCCAGCATTACCCTGAAGAAATGGCCCTCTGTGGTGTGGGAGATGTGGGAGAGCATATTCTCAATGCTCTGAGTTCCACAATATCGATACGGAATGAAACCTGCTCGGTGGGCCACTTGCTGAGGGCTGTGCCCCGGGAGGTGAACTCCGCCATCCCAAAGGAGTAAGAATCTTTGCTAACTGAAGAGGGGGAGGTGAGAGAACGGGCACCCACACACATTTCTGCAGTGGCTTCCATGCAAGTTTGTAGTGGTTCTTTCCACCACCTCCAAGCATCCAGGACTTTTGGAAGTCCTGTAACATATTTAAAGAAATTAATAAGGAGTACACATCAATCTTAGCTATCCTTGCAGTCTGACGCCGGATCACAGAGGACAACCCACACCCCAAGAATTGTAGGCAGGCTCTTCAGTTGTTTGCAGACTGTGCAATACAGTAATTCCCCATTTAACACAGTAGCTACATTTCAGAAAACGATTGTGCTAAATGAAAACATGTTATGCGGGGTCAATTGTCCCATTGAAAATATTAGAAAAGGTGGGGGTTGCGTTTCAAGCGCACGTGCACTCGCAGCTCCAGCCCGCACTGGTTAGCAGCTGGGACCAGGACATAAGGTTGGGGGGAAAGGGGCCTGGGGTATAGCAGGGAGGGGAGGTGTTTGGCTCTGGAGGAGGGAAGGGAAGGGAAGGACAGGGGAGGGGGCTTGCAGCCTGCGGCTGGGTTTCCCCAGCTGGCTGGTCGCCGGCAGCTGCGCGGGGCATCCTCTGTCTCCTTACAAAGTGGCAGAGGTTTGCCGCTGGCTGCACCATTCCCCTTTGGCCAGATGTCTTGTGCCCGGCCAGAGGGGGTCACTAGGGAACGGCACTGCGAGCGGCAAACCTCCGCCGCTTTGCAGGGAGGCAGGGGAAGCCTCTAGCCGGCCCTAGGGGAAATCGTGTTATTGAGGGGACGGGGTCGTGTTGTTTGAAAAATGTTCCCTAAAAAAACTCGTGCTATCGCGAAAACGTGTTAAGTGGGGAATTACTGTACCAGCAGGTTAGACTGGATGGAGTAGAAAAATCTCTCTGGGGAGAGACTCTGGCAGTTACCGAGTGGCCCTAATGACGTCTGTTGTTTGGATTGGGGTCAACATGCTTTTCTCAATCCATGTGACGGCCCATGGCCAAAATACACTTACAGCCGTGGTTGCCACCAGCTGGACCTCTAGTGCTGACTGCTCCAAGGAGAGCATTGTGGCTACGCTACATTGACAAATGGGCTACTGCTGCCAAGAGACGCTTTGTAAAGGCTGAGTGCTGTGGAAAGCACGGGGGAGGGCTTGTTAGCAGCAGGGTTCTGAGCCTACCCGGACTTGCACAAACTGTTTGTAGGATAGGTAGATGGTTACATGAAAGCAGGCGTCCAGGAAGTCACGAGCAAAGTACCAGTCTCCCAGATCTAGGGATCTGATAATGGCTAATGTCACCATCCCGAAGTGCCGGGAAAGGATACTGCTGTTCAGGTTCTTAGATCAAGGATTTATCTCCATCCTCTACTCCTACTGGGAACTAGAATCATCTTCCAACCAGCTCAGGAGGAACTTACTCGATTGACCACAAGAGTCTGGACATCCTGTTTTAAGAGGTTTGGGGAAAGTTGTCCATGAAGAGAGAAGGGTAAGAGTGAGTGGGAGCTGACAGAACACCCCATGCTTAACATCTCCAAAAGCCACCTGCCTGAGGTCATCTGTCCCCAGACAGGGAGGAAGTGGGACAACCAGTTTCCAAAGGGAGACTGAATGGAATCCTTCAGCACAGGACCTGACAGCGCAGGTTGTTTAAGCCATCAGCGGAAGCATCAAAATTGTTTCTTGCAGGGAGGTAGAGAGGATGTTGCTTTAGAAGAGCAAGGTCTCCATTGTTGGGGTATCTTCCTCTGTAGCCTTCAGAAGGTCTAGGAAAACTGATGTGGACTGTACTGGAATGACCTAGATTGCTACAGTGTTTGAGACCCACAGACCTGTCCCTATGCTGCAGGAACATACATTCCAAGGGACTGTCTCTTTGTTGTATGGAGGAAGAAGCTGCATCAGCTGGATATTAGACTCGGCAAGCAAGCAAGCACAGACCCTCATTTAGAGGAAGGGCAATTTGCACTTGAGAGGTGATGGTTAAAATGGGCTCAAAGGGTTGCTGAGGATCCTTAGCCTCTTCTAATGGGTTATGGAGGGACATTGCCAGGCACCTCACGAGGTCTTGAACAGTCTGAAAGACATACAACGGTGGTGGGGCGTCACCCCTTCATCAGGAGATGAAGAGGACATGAAGTGATAGGGGCAATTCTCCTCCGTCTGCATGATCCCACTAACCTTGGGTGTCTTCCCGTGATGAAGGGACACACGGGACCGGAGGGAGATTGTACAGTACTGAGTGGTGGCCTGTGGGGTACCAAAGGCTGATCCAGTGGTGTCTGACAATAATGCAGTCTTGGGGCTTCTTTCTGGTTGGAGTCCTGTACAATCGCTCCCCCATGGTGATCGCCATGGAATCCTGTAGGCACACCGAAGTAGCAGATAAGGGAAGGGCCCCTAGGGATGGTCTAAACCGAAGGATTAGACACGCCTGGTGGAGTCTGAGACGGTTACATCTGAATATTGGATCAGTTGGACGTGGTGGAAAGGTGCAGAAAAGCAGCCCTGAACTGAGGCTTTGCAGAATCACCCCATGGACACTAACAAAGGTTCTTGTACAAGAAGGGTCACTCGGTCTGGACAGAGGGGCCCTGGCAGGTCACCCACTGGCAGAAGTTAGATCTGAAGAACAGCAGACGGATCACTCAATTTGCCTGTTTCTCTTCATTCCCCTGGAGGACGGGCACTTGGGCTAGATGGGCCACTGGTCTGACCCGAGAGGAATCGGAAGATGCTGGAGAGCTTTGATGTCTAGCAGACTGAGCTGATCATAGAACACTAGGGCTGGAAGGGACCTCGAGGGGTCATCGAGTCCAGTCCCCGCCCCTTGACGAAGCTGGGACAGCGAGAGCGGCACACTGGGGAGGCTTGAACAGGAGCTTGTCTGACAAGGATGCACAGGAAGCGACAGTACCAGGGCGTGCTCAGGACCTGTGCATCTCAGGGCCTCCAAGTCAGCAGCTTCCTGTGTTGTCTGCTAGGAAGCTTGTCCACTCGCTGCTTCTTGTGCAGTACTGGCGGCTCAGTACGGAGCCAGAACGTAACCGTAGCTGTACCCACGAAGGGATGAAAGGTCTCTCTGGGATTTGAGGGGACCTCTTATGCCCTCACAAAGGAGAAAGAGGCTGCTTCTTGGAAGCCCGAGCTCCATAGGCGCTGCTGCCACCACTTCAGCCTGAACTATTGAGGCGGATGAACAGAGGAGGAAGCATATACCGCTGGGGCTGGAGACGGCTGCATTAGAAGGGCCTTGAATCTAGGTCATCCCTCCTTTCCATGATCTACCTGTACACCCCCTGCCTGCTGACACAGTGCTGGTCTCTACAAGGCAGCAGAGGCCATTCAAATGCATCTCCGCACAGGGAGAACACCTGGGGCAGGTCTGGCACCGCGAGGTCTATGGCATAACCCCGAGGAGGTGGCGAGCCAAAGAAAGAGAAGAGAGGGGACTAGCTCCTATCACAAACGAAGAAGAACAAAGTAACTAAGAGACAGAGAAATGGAAAGACTAACCAAGCACTGAGCAATGGCTGGAAGCCATTGAACCAGCTGAACACGCAATTGCTCCGTCCTGAGCCGCAGGCAGTTAAGGGTTTGCGTGGCAGCTGGTCCTTACTTGCCCTTGCTAGGAGGCACAAGGTGCTGCTTCCGCAAGCAGACACTGCTTTGTGTTCTCTGGCCGAGCGCGCACCGGTAAAAGTACCGATAGTTCTGATATGCAGAAAGGAAGCAGCCATTCTATTTTACTGTTCCTAATTTGCAAAGGGAGCGCTGGTGGCTCAGCTGCGTCTCCTACATGAGCAGTGGACAGGCCACAGAACCCATTCCAAACTGCCAGCTGGGTGTGGCAGCAGTGGAAGATGTCTTGGCTACTCCTACAGTGGGTGGAACTCAGGGCTGAGGGAGATGCTGGACTGGTATCCCTGAAGAGCAGAGTCCCCGGTTCAGCTTTTGGGCTCTGTGCCACCAATATGTCCAGCCCTGACCAAGCAGGCAATCCCCTGGGAGAAACATGGCACGATCTTGTGCCCCACACTCATTCCACAGCATCACTGCTGAGACCCCAGGAACGTGCTGGCCCTACGGGTGGGACATGGACTCTTGTATTCGAGCCATTTCCAGAGCCTGCGTTGCTCCAGCACACAAGTGTCCCCTCTAATAGGACACCTTTCTGCAAGTGGTCCCCACATCATCATAGCTGCAGGGATGCCAGCCAGCCTACCATCAGCTCCTCCCAGGCCCCTGGAGCAGATCTGCTCAGAGGTCTTTATTCATTTCTAGAATGACTTGACTTTTCATCAGCCACATGAGGAGTGGAAAGCTCTTTTCCAGTACCGGAGATCTAGGCAACCTCCCTCTGCCTCAGGACGTCCCGTCAGGTGGTGGATGACGGAGTGTGCGGCGAGCTGCCCCTGGCTGACTGCCAAGAAGGTGCTGTCCTGCAGCCAGGTGAACAGCCGAAACGCCAGGGGGTTCACCCGCGTGACCTCACCGCAGCTCACCTCGAGCCTGTACGATTGAAAGAGAGAGATGGAGAGTCAGTATCAATGGGCCAGTCAACCCACCATCACTATCTGGAAAGGAGGACATCCCGGACACTCCAGCCAGCAAGGGGTTAGACAGGGATACTAACCTGTTCTGTAGCTGCTGTTCTTCCAGATGTGCTGCGCGCATTCATTCCACTTCAGGCGTACGTGCATCCAGCGTGCAGCACTGGGGAGGTTTCCCTTCCCAGTACCCATCAGGACAGCGCACGTGCCTTCTGCCAGCTTGTGCTGCTGAGCACCCCGGCTGCCAACAACTCTTTCTTACTTGATGTCACTATGCAGGAGCACGGGGATGGGATGTGGAATGGAGACGTGCGACACACCACGAACAGAGCTACAGAACAGGTTACTAACCATTCTTCTTCTCCGAGTGATTGTACAGATCCGTTCCACTTCAACCGGCGTGCACTTGGTGAATTCAAATGATAGACTGGAGCCTCCGGCCAATGTACTACTACACATCCAAACCTGGCATCATCTCTAGAATGCTGATACACAAACATACGTACTGCAGACCAAGCTGCAGATCTACAAATGTCCTGTAAGGGCCCTTGAGTTAGACAAGCTGCAGAAACTGTGTGAAGTCTCAGAGTGTGCTACCACTCTGCTTGACAGCATCACACTGGTAATGTGAGAGAGACAGGACGTCCTCAACACGAATTTCTGAGCTGCGACTGCAGTACCCTTCATTCTGTCCATGACGGCCATAAACAGCCTTGAGACTGATCTAGTTCTGTCCAAGTAAAAAGCCAATGCTCTCCTGCCATCCAATACACAGAGTCTCTCCTCATCCTTGTGAGCACAAGTCTTAGGAAAGGCGGCGGGCAAGTATATTGCCTGATTAGTTTCTCATTTCACATCATTTTTAAGCCGGCTCTCTGCCTGTACTTGCGCCTGCTGAAAATGTCAGCAGTTACACAATTAAACACATTGTAACATCCCGAATTCACGTAGAACATTTCTACTAGTTCTTACAGTCAACACTGCAAATTCCTGCCCTTAATGATGGGAAAGAACAAGTGACAAGCTAAATCCACGACTCTTAACTCCCTCGTGTTTATGTGGAGAGCCAGCTCTTGGCCAGATCAAGGACTGCTGGTCTGTAGAGACCACAGGTGGGCTCCCTACTCCAGGGCAGAAGCATGTGTAACCAGAGTGAGTAGGGTTGAGAGAACAAAGGGCACTCCCAAACATGCTGGCTGGGTCCATCCACGAGACCAGACAGCTGTGGGCATTTGGACTAGGTAGTCACATATCGAGGAGGACACCGAGCTCTGCAACTTCCTGAGATGGAGACTGGCACACAGCAAGGAGATTAGATAACCATTAACTCAATAGTTATGTGAGCGCCTCAAATACTTGATAGCTCCCGGGGGCGGGGGTGGGGGAGGCTACAATGGAGCAGCCTCTGTCCACAGTGGGTCAGGCTTGCTGTGCGCAGAGGCTTCTCTGTGGGATGCTGGTGCAGCCTCTGACTGCAGGGGGCTCTGGCCTCCTCCGGACAGGGGCTGCTGCTGTCTCTGTCAGACGTAGCAGTGTGGGGTGGCAGGTGGGAGCTGGTCCACCAAGGGATCAGGTTTAACCTCCCACCCCTTTCTAGTTTGGGGCTTATCACAGATCTGGCACCTGTCACAGACATGACCATTGGCACGGCTCTTTAAACACCAAGGAGAGTCACTCATCAGCCTGGATTTCACGTACACAGTGCAAGGACTAACATCCCAAGAACGATGCATCCCGATACGGGGCATCAGCACCCACAGCAAGCAGGAATCAACAGTACTCGTAGACTCACCATTCAAAACCAAACCAACCCTACCTTATACATTTACAAAGACCAACTAGATTCAAGGAGACAGCTCCAGGAAAGGGAAAAATCCTCCTGACACAAGTTAGCGTGTAGACTAGGGATGCAAAGGACTAGTTAACTATCCGATAAGCATTTGCTTATCAGATAGTTGACAGGATAGTGACTAGTTGCTTCCTGCCCCCCGCAAGCTCTATCAGATAGAGGCAGCAAGAGGGGAGGGGGAGAAAAAGGGTACTTCAAAGCGGCAGCGCTGCCTGAAGCCCAGCCCCGGGCTCCACGCGGTACTGCCACTTTGAAAAGCCGTGTGTGGCCCGGGGGCCACTGGGGTGTCCAAGGCTGCATGTGGCATTTCAAAGCAGCAACGCCATGTGGAGCCCGGGATCAGCTGGGGACTCCGTGTGGCACTGTCACTTTGAAACGCCGCAGGGAGCCGTGTCAGGCTCCTCGCAGCATTTCAAAGTGGCAGCGCCACGTGGAGCCCAGGACTCCCCAGCTGACCCCAGGCTCCACACGGCACTTTCACCTTTGAAGTGTAGGGCTGTTGCTACACTTCGAAGGCGGAGGCTGCCCTATCAACCCATTGACTAGTCGATTACCTGATACTTCACGTCCGTAGTGTAGACTACCAGCCACAGACAGTAAGCAGGTACTGAGGGGGAATCGGGGCCGTCCATTAGATCACTGCATAGCAGCAAAGGACACATGCATCAGCTCAGTGGGCACAGTTAAGGGCCAAATCTCTGACTCTGGAGTCCTGGGTGCGCACACACCTGAAGTGGAACGGACACGTGCAATCAAAGGCAGCTACGTGCGGGCGATTCGAGCAAGGGGATAGTCAAACGCCAGGCAGCACACCCTTTTGGCCCAAGGTGGTGTATCTGGCCTCCCACGCCATGTGCCTAGGGAGCAGCAGGCCTCTCCAGAATGAGCCTTGCCTATCTGGTCAGCTAGGCTTCATGTGCGAGGGGGCTAAGTACTCACTGGCCCTTCCAGCACAAGCAGCCTTGCACTAGTGCACCTCACATCTCCAATGGAGGCAAGCACCGCTGGCAGCATGACAGCCCGTGGCTAGGGATGCCAGAACAGTGTTTCTTCCCATGCCAGAAGCTCAGATCGTGGAGACGGTCACAGCTCCCTAGCAGAGCTGAGTCTCTAACCAGCCACCCCGGGAGAGAGTGCGCCACACTGCCCAGCCAGGCTCCGCTGGTGCCTTCTTAGTGTTAGCTGAGGGCCAGAGTCCCTGCAGAGCAGGAGCAAGGCCTTTTTAGCTAAGCGGAAGACACTGCTCACCCAGCAGTCAGCTACTGCCTATATACAGCAACAGACTCCGTTTCCCACAAGTCACTGGAGCCCTGCAGTACCTGTAGGTTTTTTCCAGTTGAAGTGTTTCAATAGAAGCTTTAAATCCACTTCCTCCCAGTGCAACAGAGCGGTCTTTCCCAGTGCTGTCACCTGGCAAATGGAGTATAAGGCACGTTAGAGCATCCCTCATGCAAAACCACCCAAGAATTGCAAGACACTTTGCTCCCAGTCTAACCATTACTGAGGGTAATTCAACATGCAGTCACCTGTTCATTACACGCTCTCCTCTGTAATCCCCACTCTTACGTGTACAGCGTGAAATCAAAACCAAGGGACAGGATTCCCAGAGTAGCTGGGGAGTCTGCCTCTCACTATGCATGCTGACAGCTCCGCTGTCCAAGAGGGACCGATCCTGCACTGAGCTAGGGCTGAGGGGTTACGGTATCACACAGGTCACAGAAGCCATAGAATCCAGGACTTCCATTGACCTCCATAATATTTTCTGCCCTGGGGCTGAAGCTCCAAGCCATTCCCCTACACTTCACGTAGCTCCCTGCTGCTACAGGGAGCAGGACCCCCGCCCCCTCAGAGCCTCAGCCAACGTGCAGGGCTGGGAGGGAACCTTGGAGCTCCCACTCACCACAGCGGTGGGAGACCCAGAGCCCTAGCAGCAACGTGCGATGAGCTAAACCCCCTCCCCATTGTGTCAGGGCTATGTTTAGTGAAAACGAGGGACAGGACGCAGGCTTCCATGAAGTTTTGTTTATTGCCCATGACTAGGGATGTTAAATATCGGTTAGTTGAACAGTTGATTAACTGAAGACAGAGGGGAGAGGAAAGCAGTTTTCAGGTATCAAAAGGGTGTTATAAGGAGGAAGGAGAAAACTTGTTCATCTTGGCCTCTGAGGATAGAGCAAGAAGCAATGGGCTTAAACTGCAGCAAGGGAGGTTTAGGTTGGACATTAGTTGCCAAGGGAAGTTGTGGAATCTCCATCTCTGGAGACATTTAAGAGCAGGTTAGACAGACACCTGTCAGGGATATCTAGACACTACTGGGTCCTGCCATGGGGCAGGGACTGGACTCGATGACCTCACGAGGTCCCTTCCAGTTCTAGTGTTTTATGGTTCTATGACTCTTTTTTCATCAGCTGAGACAGGCACTGATGGAGTCATAAATGCACTGGAGAAGTGCGTGTGCCAAGTTTACCACGCGAGGATCATCATTACAACGCTTGCACAGCTACACTGGTGTTTTCCAAGAGAGAGGGAAAACATGCCCCAACAAAAGGATGCGGTTATACCTGCTATCAGGCGGTCAAACTCCAGGATGACTGAGCACCTCTAAAACTACTCACTCCTATCAGGCCTGGGTGCATCTTTGAGGTGGACTGATTACACCGTGGTGAGTGCAATAGCACACGCTCCTACAGCAATCCTTCGCCTAATCAATGTGACAATGTGTCCAGCAATGGTAGCCCAGATGGAGACAACATGGAGGAAGACTGATGAACGCTTTCAGTCCTACATGTCAAGGCGACCTTTCCTAGAATGCCTAAGGGTTGATTGTTTTTAAAGGTAAGCAATGCAGCCTTGTATTCAAGTAGAATTAAAAGAAGTTGATATCTATCTACATAACTGTTCTAGGTTTGACATGCTTGGTGCCGTTGCATACGTGGGAAAAAGGGCTTTCAAAGGACACTCAATTTGACTCAGATCCAATGGCACCATTATCAAAATTTCCAACAGGAGGACACAGAGCTGCAAGATGGGAAGAGAGGGAAAAGGAGAGAGGGAAGGGCAGTGAGCCTCCCCTGCCACATCTCAGAACAGGACACCACTGAAACTAGGATCCTCTAGGTTTTTACAAATCAAATTAAACCTCCCTGACCCTTCTTTTACTGACCTACCCAGGACACGTGATTTTGCTGCAATGTGCTCCCAGGGTGAAACCCTAGGACAAGCAAACACCAGAGAAGTGCCATCCCCTGCGAGGAACGAAATAGGCTGGATCACACCAGGATCAAAAAGAGCTTGTGGGACGAAAGGTCAGTCTGAACTGGGTGCCCCCCACTTCATTCTTGAGCTGACCTAAGACTCTAGCCCAGAGCACAAGCTGCTGGAAGGGCATGAAAGCCTGGAACCGATCAGGGTCTCCACAATGCGGGAGAGAAGAAGGGTGACAGTTAGCAAGCGCATCATGCGGGTAGACTGGTGATTGCTTTGTAATTGTTTCTGCTGTAATTCTCCTATTTGGAGGAGAGCAAATGCTCTGAGAAGCTGGCTGCTCCCTGTGGCAAGCGAGCGCACACACCACATGCTGTACTCACACCAGGCCTGCTGGAATAGTAAGAGTGAACCGCAGGGGCACTAAGCCTAGATCCCTCAGCTGGAGGGGTCCTTGCTCACAGACGTGACATTTGGAGGTGAGAGACCTGAAAGAGCACCCTTGAGAAGCTCCCAGAGCAAGCCGAGGGACAGAGAAAGAGAAGACCCACCAGCTCTGTAAATGGAGATCCGGTTGTCGGCGTCCAGGACAGCAAGGTCTGCTCTCCTTGTGGGGTCCGAGTGGAATGCAACTTGGTTCACTGCCTGCGGGAGCTGGAGTTGGAACGTGCACATGGGTGGAGGCACCACAGAACGCTGGAAGGCCGTTACCAGCACCTTATCTGAGGAAACAGGAGAGTCAGGCTGTGCTGGCCCCGGGCGGATGCCAGTTCTCACTGCAACAGCAGCACTAACAGCGCCAGAGGAAGATGCTCCTTGGGAGGTGGGGAGGGGCACGGAGGAGGGCTGCTCTGTCCAGAGACCCGGACTGAAAGCCCATTCATTCAGTTCCCATGGACTCAGAGGGACTTGGGATTTAGCCCTGAAGACGGGAGCTGCCCCACACTTCTATCATGTCCCTAAGCGGCAAGAGACAATACTGCAAAGGCCCAGACACCAGACACATTCCCCCTCCTCCCACCGACTCGGTCTCGCAGAATCACCTCCGTCGATAACGGCCACGTTGGCCACAGGGTGGCTCTCGTCCCCAATGCTGCGGTCGGTGCTCCAGTGCCAGTCGTAGCAGAGGGCATGCCACCCTCTGCAGAGGGCGTGCAGTCGACAGGGGATCTCAGGGTCCCACAGCAGAGCCACAGGCTGGCTTCTCTCGGCACTGCCAAAACGCAGGCTCTGCTTCAGGTACCAGTGATAGTTCCCTACCGTCCAGAGCTGAACTGCAGAGAAATGCAGAGATTACACGCTTCACAGGGACCGGGCAGCACGGTCACAGCTAGCACCACGCCCCACGCCCCCCACGCCTTGGGGGATTCAGCAATTGCAGGTGAATGTTGTGGCACAGGGCCCCATCTCTCTTACGGCCACCACCGAAGACTTGATCAGCAGCCCTTCAGCCTGTCTGACCTCAGCAATTATCCTCTGCTCCTAAGGAACACAGGCCCAGGGATTAACCCGCCAGACCGGATGCAGGAGATCCAGGTTCGGTCCTCTGCCTCGCCAGACCCCCTACGTGACCATGGCCGAGCCATGTTGCCATCTGTATATGAGGCCATGTGTCTCTACTTTGCTATTAAGATGGCAAGCTCCTTTGAGCAGCACCCAGCACAGTGCAACCCTCACCTCCGAACTGGCCCAAAAGAGCCTCCAACTTCTGGGTCCCCGCAAAATACCTTCCCCAGGCGACACTGAGGACATGGGCCTGCAGTCACTGGCGGAGCTGGCTCAGAAGCCCACTCGTGTGCAGGGGGCATCGCACTGCTTGAGAGCAGCTGGCCTGGGCAAGGCCTGCGAGCAAGATCTAGTGACCTAGTGCAGTCTCTCCTGGCGCTGCACAGGCGCCTCAGGAGACAGCAGAATCTTCCCATGTCTTTTGCTGCGTTGCCCCTCCACATCTCCCAGCGAATGCGCCCTTGGGGGGACAGCCAGCATCTTACCAATGGACGCGGAGCTCTTTCCGTCCTTGCTGTCCTCCAGCCAGACGGCCAGGATCGTGGAGTCCAGGTTCCAGAGCAGCTCTTTCACCTGATAAGACAGAGCCGCTCATGGGTGTTTCTGCCCACGTACAAGGCAGACCCCAGGTCAGAACCACTTCTCCAAACGTAAAGATGTCATTGGCTCCCTCCTGGCCCAGGGAGCGTAAGAGCGAGCCCAGCAATAGAAAGCGGCAGGCCAGGGAACCCGCAGGCACGAATTCAAGGCGGGCGACCCCAGCCATGTCTTAGGAAAGCAATGGGGCGTTAGGCAGACCCTGTGCACTCTGTGCAGCTCCTGCTGCAGGGAACCAATGATGCAGGCTCCGTGTGGGGTCCCAGGCTCTCCCCTCACACAGCAGCAGTGCCCTGCCCTCTTTTACACGCGGCTCTTTCCCACACAATCAGACAGACACTCTCCTCACCGGGCCAGTGGCACGTTACTGGATTTCAAGGGGAGCAGCCAGATCGCTGCTGCACCCATGGGGGGTGCCCTAAACGTGTGTACAAAGGGGCCATGTGAGGTGTCATGTGAAAGCTTCTGTTCTACTGATTCTGTGTGCGCTATTCATGTGCTTGTGTGATATCTGTGTGTGGAGCTAGAAACGGACTCTGCAGGGATGCTGGAAAATTCTCTGTCCACGGCTGAGCAATGGGCAAGGAATGCTCAGCCAATGGCCATGCTAATTAGCAAGGAGACAATGAATCTCTAGGTGCCAATACGCACCTCAGGAACGTGACCTGCAAACCAGCATGGGATGCAAGGGTAGGTTGTTGGACCATGTGACCTTCTCTGGCCAAGAAGTTGCCAGGAGAGGTATCTAAGTGCCATGCGGCACCCTCCATCTGGTCTTCAGTTTAGCTCCTGATCCCAGATGCAGCCTTGCAGGGAACCAGGAGCCGGAAAGAACTGTGGACCCATCCTGACAGAGGATGTAACCCCGAGACTGAGCAATTCACCCTAGATGGACACCCTCAGCGGTGCCCATACCTGGCCTGGCCCGTCACAGCCAGGCCTTCCAGAGGCAGGAGTCCTTGTCCCCTGGTGTTCAAATGCTAGAGCCTCTAGAGGAGCTGCAGTGCACTTACGAACTCCCCAGGGCTTGGCCCAGCTCCCAGTGCGGTCACTGGAAGTCCCCCAGTGGGAGCTAGGCCCGTTGTTCTGCTTCTAGGTATTCTGCAACCAAGAGACCTTGATGTTAAAGAGTGATAGAAATGTAGCCGTGTTAGCCTGGGGTAGTTGAAGCAAAATGCAGGACAATGTAGCACTTTAAAGACTAACAAGATGGTTTATTAGATGATGAGCTTTCGTGGGCCAGACCCACTTCCTCAGATCAAATAGTGGAAGAAAGTAGTCACAACCGTATATAAGTGGGTCTGGCCCACGAAAGCTCATCATCTAATAAACCATCTTGTTAGTCTTTAAAGTGCTACATTGTCCTGCATTTTGATGTTAAAGAGGTCTGAATGCCCAACTGGAGTCAACAGGGTCACCTGCAGCCCAGCACTCCTGGACAGGGCCCATGCAAACTGCAGAGTTAACAACTTTTCCCCCAACCGCTCCTGTAGGGAGCCACAGACTGGTGCTTTCTGTCTACCCAGGGCAAGTCTGCCAGCGACTCTAGGCAATGATGGGTGCAGTCTGGAGCTAGCTGCAACTTTGGATCCGCAGTTTAGATTTAGCTCACTGTCAAGATGCAAGCCTGGGGCCCATTTAAAATCTGGATCCAGGCTACTCTAGATTTTCGGTTACTTAGATCAGGGTCCATCACTACTAATCACGACCAGACAGACTTGCTGAGCCCCGCACAAGGGGGAGGGGCCCCAGAAAGGCTGGGGCTGGAGCACCATTGGGATTGCACTCCCTCTTTCAGTGCCAACCCGAATACACCATCTGAGGCTGTGCGGTGTGCTGCCCTGGCTCCAGCGAGGATTTCAAGGGCCCAGGCCGCTGCTGCTGCAGTGGGAGCCCCTGGCCTCCCTCTCAGCAGGCCTTCCAACCCTTCATGTTCAGCAGCGGAGTCTCCACACCCAGCAGCGGTAAGCACGACATGCACACAAGAGCAATGGCCTGGACACCGCACTCACCTTGGCCTGGCCTTTCTGGAACGGAAGGGTGAATTCCCCATGAAGGAGGCCATTTTTCTCGAAGAAGACAACATCGTGTTTGTTGGGCTTCTCCTGCGTGGATGCTATTAGGCTTCCAGAGGGCCTTAAAACAAACCCAAGGAAACGCATGAGTGAGCACACAAATGCAAGGTGAGGAACACGTACCAAAGGAGCAGCAGGTCCTAATCAGGCCTCTAGCCAAGGCTCTGGCAGCACCGCACAGACCTTACTCAGGGCTCAACGCCCTGATAGAAATAATATTAGTACAGGAGAGGGTAAGCATGGCTGTCCCTCCCAGAGCTGAGCCAGCCTCTTGGGATACTGCTAAAAGGCCAAGCACAGGGCCTACCCCTCCTACCTGCTCTGGTCTAACGTCTGAGGGGAGGGGAGCTAACAGGGAAACAGGAATTATTGACTCAAAATGGCTCCTCCTTGGTGGCAGCTCAAAGCAGGAAGGGAAAGGATCCTTTTGGCTCTGACTCATGATGGCCCTACAGCCAGTGAACAATACCCAACCCCGTCTGCCCAGAACACACACTGCTTATTACTCACTTCCAGGCCAGTGCTTGTTCTAGTCCTGGGACAGGCTCACTCGTCGACTGCAAGACCAGCTCTCTGCTCCACACTCTGACCTTCCAGTCCCCTACAC